AACATCTAGAAATGGTTAGATTTTCTAGTGTTCTCGGATAGGGACGAATAAATGGAGGTCCCGTCTCCTGCAGGGTTGGGGTAGGAGACGTTAATCTCCCACACACGAAATTATTGTGTGATGAATGTCCTCCACTGGGGTGGGATGGGTAGGAAGGTGAGGGCCATATGTTAGAAAACTTTTGTAAAGTTAATATGTTACCCTTGTTAAATAAAGATGTATGTATGTATGTGTGTATGTATGATCACATTGGCCTCTCGGACGAATTCTGAAGACATTCTCTGGGAAGGAGGGCAGAGTTTGTATGGCAGAAGTGAAAAATCCTAGCTGAACCCTGATGTGACCTGCCGCAAAGTTATGCGTGTTGGAGGAATCTGTTTGAAAGGAGCGATGTTGAGTTGTGATTGAACTGAGCACAATTGTAGCCCTTTCGTGGAAACTGTTTGTTGTTTGTGATCTAGGTTCCTTTAGGTTGTTTTTAGGTTGTCGTTCGTCTTATTGACTCACTGGGGGGGGGGAGGATGGAGCGGCTGCTGTTTGTCGTAACTGTTGTAACGCTATACCAAAGACTGCTTGCGCGCGAGGAAACGAAGGAATTATAACGTTGTGTTTACGTCTGATAGAATTAAAATTCTCGTTCTATTTGGTCTTACCACTCCTTTTTAAACTTCTTTACTTATTTGGAAGGGAACATCATCAGATTCATGACATACTTGATCTCTAAAATTGACTATTTTCTAAGTTCGGTCCATGTATCAGTCTATTTTTAATTTTGTAAAGTTTTGCAGGAAGAAGGTTATCGAAAATTCTGATTCGTTTGTCGTCTGGGGGGCTGTGCAAACTGGAAGTAAAGATTGCGTCAGTCCCAGTTCTCGCTTTCTTAAAGAACAAAATAGCGAGGAGTACATTTTGACAGTAGTTGACAGTTTTTTTTTTATCAGAGAAAACATTTAAATAAAAAAGGGGACTAAAAGAAAAAGTAGCATAACTCTCAAAACATAGCATAACTTTGAGCATAATTTTGACAAAAAACAGGTAATGCTTATAGCATGATGCTACTTTTACGAGCTCAATCAATCTTTGAGAGCTTACTTACAAGTTATAGACTAACGGGGATGTACCACTAGATGGAGTCACATGTTCACGAATAGACTAATTATAATTGGATTACACCTTTAATGGAGTTACCAGAATGGGAATGCACTTTTTTGGTATTTTGGGGTTAAGAAAACTCTGCTGAGTAGGCATTTAAACATAGTTTGCTTTTGAAAGACCTTTGCAGATAGATACATAAACAGAGAGTGTATAAGTAGGGATCGGGAAAATTGCACTAGCCAAAAGTGACTGAGATAAACTCACAGATGTGATGGTAGTGGTTGGGTGGTCTGACCTAGGAAAAACACGAAAAAGCCCATGTCTCGTAAATTGAGTGATAGAAAATTGAAACGTTCACAGAACTCTGTAAAAGGAAACAAAAAGCGGAAATAGGAAGCCTCCTGACGTTTCGAACACAAAGCTTATTCAAGAACGGGTTTCCTGTGGATTTAACATTTTGTTTTTAGCTTTAGCAAAAAATATACGCTTTTAGAACACCGAAAATTATGGCTTGTGTGGTCTTATTTGCGAGACTCGATCCTAAATAATGAATTTTCAATTGGAAACTACCGTTTGAAAGACCCAGTCCTCCGCGCAGGTTATTATCTACTTTTAGAGCTTTCCATGCCAGGCAGTTTTCGCGTTTACTTTTTTACTTACTCTTACTTACTTTATTTAACCACGTCAACACCTAGGAGTTTTACAACTCTTTAAAACGTGTACGTAAAACGCCCCAATTCCCAGTCAACATGCCAGACCACATCAAGGTAATGTCCTGCCTAACCAAATTAACTAAATGATAGATGCAGGAGACGAGAGGACTAGAATGTCTATTCATTTCTTGATATTATAGAAAGGTAGCACATTCTCCTCAGTTCTTTTAAGACTTTGAGTGTTGGTCCGGACAACAGTCAAACTTTGTAACCAATTGAGCTAACCGGGAGACGTTTATTTATTTTAACGTTAACTTTTGCCTAAAACTAAGATAATCTTACTAAACGGGACCCGGAGATTACTTTCAATTATAAATTATAAATTATAAATTATAAATTATAAATTATAAATTATAAATTATAAATTGGCGCTGAGTAGTAATCACAAGGACAGTATAGTCAGTGCAAATATTTATTGACCGGTTATTTGCAAGCGGTGCTGGTGAAGATTATATTTGTTGACTATCTATTTTGTGCTTTAACAATGGTATTGTATTCCGGTCTCGTTTTCCATCTTTTTCTAAGTTCTCTACTCGCATCCTCCATGGAAGTTGCCGTCAAAAAAGAAAAAAAAAATATAATTGAAATTTATTAAATGAAGTTTTAGTGATCTACCCAATAATCATGGTCGTGATATATGTAGTGATGACAACACTTACCGAGACCTTGGATATTGAAAATAGACTGGGTATTCCAAAAACCCCAAAACCCTTATCTGCTGTCTTAAAGGAATGACTTCGAAGAATAGGTCGGATGATCTCAACTTAAGGAGAATTTTGAACACGACAACACCTTGCCACCCAGTGGTACCAAGTTAGAATGTTATCGGACAAAAAAATCACGAATAGATATTTATTATATTGTACCTCCATACTCTTATGAGGCAATGAATCTAAAGGTGATGTTAATACACGTGATGATACACATGATGATACACGTGATGATACACGTGATGATACACATGATGATACACATGATGATACACATGATGACACACGTGATGATACACGTGATGATACACGTGATGATACACGTGATGATACATATGGAAATGGCGCTGCTGAGGGTCAGTGAAGTCATTCAACTTGAAGGGCTTTTTTAGATTTTTCACCCTCTCTACTTAACTTTTTTGGCTTTTCAAAAGAATAGCAGCTATCTAACTTGAGGAAAATAGGAAATAAGACTCAGAAATAAAGAAAAAGTTTACTGTACTTCCCTTTTCAACTTAAAACGCACCTCAGTTGTCATTTGACAACTGCTAAATCTAAAAGCTGTTTTCCTCTAAGTTTACAGCAACTATGTCTCCAAGATAACCGAAGAGCTACTGAAATGGACAGTTGCTAAGACAAAATTTCCCCCCTCCCCTTTTACGTCTGAGGGTCAAGCTTATGCTCAGTTGGCAGTACTTTACGCAATAATTTCCTTTTTTTTTCAATTTTAGATGACACTTACCATTTCTTAGGTAAGCAGCAAGAATTGTGAGTTAGACCAAACCTCCCCTGGCACTTAACACAGCGAGGAGAGCAGCCGCGCTTCATCTGAAACGCACCAGAAATCAGAACATCGAATACTCAATTACCACATTACGAAAAAATAGATCTTAAAAGAAGTGGACAGTAAATAATGCTATTCAAATAATTAAATAATTTCAGCCTCTTGAATAAATGATCTGTTTAGTGAATAATAAAAAAAAATATGCGCTAAAATAGTTGTTAAATGCGGGGAAGGGGCAGTTGCTGAGATCGGAAAAAATCGACCGTTTTGTTAGTGAATTGAAAAAGGTGAATGTTACTTTGTATGCCTTCCCTACGCCCACTTATCCTTGAACGCACAAGAAAAACTTCATTAATCTTATTTATTACAACAAAAGGTTTAAAATATTTTTTTACTGTACCCCTTTCAAAAAAGAATTTACTTTTTTCAGTGCAATATCTGATTTGCTATTTTTTGACGTGAATAATTTAGAAAAATCGGCATTCTGCTTTACCACATCGTCATGGTTCTCTTCCTTATCATTTCTGATCGTCATTGACGTGGCCATAACAACCAAGGCCAACAGCATTAATACAAGTCTTGGGTTCATCCTGATCTCTGAATCGCTAAAAAGAAAACAAAAATATCTCATAAAAATAAAATCTTTAAAAGACTAAAAAAAAAGTTTGCGATTTTCCATTCATTTTCACCTGTTCATTAATTAACAGGTTTCTCGATATTGCAATGCCAACCATAATAAGCACGAGCGCACATGGCCGAAATTAACACACCACTCAGTTGGTGGTCTGTCATTGAATAGGAGGGAAAAATGGACATTTCTCCGCAAAAGATGGTTTGAGATTTTCCTTTATTTTCCCACGATGTCATTATTTAGTCTCCCCTTTGTGCCGTTAAACTTTAAGAGATACGGCACAATAATTTTTAGAGTAAGCAATCGAGGAAACAGGTATGTAAATAATGACTGGGAAAGTTGCAAGGTAAACAGTAAAGGGACAAGTAAATAAACACGACGCGTTATTTGATGGTTACCATTTACTTAATTAGGTATGTTTATTTAACAGGTCTGATAAAGATTGATTCGAATGAAACAATGGGTTTTTTTGGTTGGAGAGCGGAGATGCCTTAAAAAGAGATTGCGTGGTGGCTCCAGCCAGCCTCAAAGTATTTCTTTATATCTTTGCGTTTTTTTAACTAGAGCAAAAGATTTCTTGATAGAAACTCTGGCAACCCATGTTCAGACCATTTGTAAATAAATAGAGGCCAATTGAATAGCAAGCAGACCATAAAAAAGACAGACAAGTATGCGAGGCGTAATCTATTAATGATTTGGTATTGTCCGAAATGTCTTGATGGTGATTGGCTTAAAATTAACAATGGCGAAACAAGCGTTGGTTGTGAAGGCATGCAGCGACAAATGACTGCTTGGAGTTTTGTGCATACCACAAGATATTGTTAGGTATCTGTGATCTTGTCTCAATCTTGCCATAAGAGCCAGTTTAGAGTTTGTCATCTGATACCTCACCGAGACGAAACACCATGTCATATTACACACGAAGTATTTTTTTTACAAGCATTAGCCAATTTAAAACATGTTTTTCTTGTTATGATGAGAAGCTATTTCCTGCTGCCTTGCTCGATCGTTTTCTCCTAGGGTGTGGTAAGTTGTACCCTCGTTTACATAAACGTGAAGTCGCTGTTGGAAGTGGCACGAAATAGGGATTAGCTAGCGAGGTGAGATTTTACCTTTCGTTTCTGGCTGACTTACCTCTTCACGCTATGATAAAGTTCTCTCGCACCATAAACCGGGGATAGGAAGGCTCGAAACGTGTAATTCATCAGTGTCATTTTAGAGCTGAAACTGTGAACCAAATTTTCTCCCAAAAATAAGATGTCGCACCATTTGTAGTAGCAAATAAAAATTGTGGATGAAACTTCGATGGAGATTCAGAAAGGGAAAATGTGCATTTTTCACATTGTTGTTACCAATGTTTCGGTTTATTTATGTAGTGAGACATGTTTTTACTGAGACACCCGCATAGTTGCAACTTTCTCAGAAAAGCAGTAAAACTCACAAATAATCGGTGCCTCGCTGCTTTTTGGTGTGAATTTTTTACTTGAAGGATCCTTTAGCGGATTTCAGAACGTTAACACCATAAGTTTCTTACCTTAATACAGGCAACGGTGTGTAAACAGGAACAAGTTTGATGTTTGTTCTTCGTGGACTGCAAGCCAAAGACTGTACGTAAGCTATGGCCTCTAGAAGTTAAAAGCAAATAACACCGTAAGGTTCCGCATTCTTGCTTTTGGATTATCCAGTAGCATGCCTAGAGATAATTATCTCTTTCATAAACAATAGTGAATAGAGGGTCTCAATGTGGTTAACCGCTGACCGTAAGAGCTACCAAACCATTAAGGCCCTTTGAATACCATTTACACTTATTAATAAATTACAAACGAGATTTTGGACAAGAAAGGTATCTTAAATGTTTTGTAAATTTTTTTTATGCTTAATTAGTTTATACCAAAAAGATTTGAACTAGCCAGGAGATCTTAAAGTAAGCTTGAAACCCTCACCCCTGCTCGCGTGCTTCTCACTAACAGTTTTTATCCAGGAGATCATTAAGACCATTCCTAACTAATCACTAGCTGAGCGTCTAGACGTTTCAAGGAGTTCATTCTCTTTCCCCTTCTCGTGAAATTTCTGTAGACCTATTTAAGCGTAACCTGAGGCCTAATTGGTCTAGAGACAGAACCAGTTGAAGCCGCTATGAAGGAGGTGTCTCCTTTAAAGAGAGAACCATGCATTCTTCGAATATTTTTGCAGATAATTTTGTTTCAAGAACTTAATATTTCGAAAGACTGGATAAAAAATTTTGAGAAAAGACCGTTTGGCCTGTTTTTGACCAACCCTTATCCTTTTTTGTCAGTTTCTGTGAGATAACTTTCCCATCGCATTATTGTAACCACTACTTCTTCTAATAGATCAGTGGCGAAACTACAAAAAAACATTTGCTTAAAACTTTATTCTTTATCTAACAAAGAGTTTATAAGAATATAGTAACTTATGATCTAGAGCCTGTTACCTTGGTAAGGCACCAAATTCTCAACGCTACTTTTCAAGAAAATGGGTGAGGAGAATTTCAAATCAGGACTTGTAGCTCTCTGGTGGAAACTAATGCTTCATAACATTGTTGGGTCGCGATAACAATTTTTGATTCTCGCCCGTCTACCATCGAGTAAACTCTGAAGTACACATATATATATTTAGGCATGAGTGGGTGTGCTCGCTGACCGTCCATGTTTTAGTCAGAACGCTAGCCGAAACACCGGCTTTTACAAGAATCTCACAAATTTCTAACTGATGATGTACGGTATATTTCCGATCAACCGAACAAGTCTTTGAATGCGTTGGCATAAACATAGAATTAAATGTACGTGCAAAGCATGGTAGCATACTGAACAACTAAGTTGTACGTTTAATTATGAAAGTTAGCCAAGACAGTCACAATTTGAAAGCTTGTCGGAATAGGTTAAACCTAAATTGAATAACTTCTGACTTTGAATTTCAGATAGGACTGAAGTAAAGCTAAATATAAACAAATCACAATATCATACTTAACTAACTAAATCTTTGATGACAAAATTAAGAATTTATGCTGATCCCATACCTACAACTCAGTTGAGTTTTCCTTGCAATTAAGAATTGTTTCATGCTTAGCGTGCGTCTATCGAGTTATGGATGCACGCGGGGAGTTTGGAGAGCACGAGAGAAGCGCAAGAG